CAGATTGGACTAATGGCCTTTAAAGACCCCTTCCAACTCAAACCATTCTGTGACCCTATGAAAGGGGAAATGAGAACATAGAAAGAAAATGGGATTTTAGAAGGAAGGAAGCTGGTGAATGGAAAATTTCTGAAGTAGGAGTGAGTTGATCAGAGAATGGAAAGAATGGAATCATCTGGGCGGGTACCAAAATGCGAGATTTATGTGACCATGTGACTCCCCTCATACTGTATTATATATGTGAGATGAACCTGGAGGAAGAGGCTTGCTTGTTTTGGTAAGTCTGTATTTTATGTGCTAGCAAAAATTTGAGAATGTGTGTTCAGTTCTCTATTCTATCATACATTTTCTGCATGGTATAAGGCAACTGAAACCAGTTTTTACATTATGTAGGGCAGCTGGAATTTGGTAGCCTTTGCCAAATGCAGATTTCCTTAGGCTCATTCATTCTCAGTGATTTAACAAACCACACATTTATCCCCTGGGAAAACTCTGTACCCTAGTTCAGCATCTGTAAAATGGGGCAAATAGCTTTGCCATAGTAGAGAGTGTTGTGAACATTAATTTTTTTAAGGCTATGATGGTGCTATGTACACAAATCCCAAAGATAAAAGAAGGCGAAGTCAAAAACTGGAGAAATATTTTATCAAATTGAGAAAGGAATTTTGCCCTACTCCCTCTGCTAAATGTTGTAAGAAATATTTGAATGATCCCTTCCATGCTCATAGTGTTACATGCCAGTCACAGTAGCATTACATGCAAATTTCATTCATGGAAGCATTAAATCCTTACTTGTCTTTTTAATAGACAGACAATTCAATATGTGTATTTTGATGCCTTTCCTGTGTTTGCAGTTTCAGGATGGTATCTTTCATTGATATATGTTCACTACAGACAGAACATGAAAATATTCTTCTTATTAGACCTGTTTTGAATGTTATTTAAATCTTGTTCTTGCAATACCTTTAAATATTTGTATTGGTACATTTTTGCTTTTGCATTGATAGGGTTTCTTCATTAACCTGATCTGGTATGCTGTTTTAGAATACTCTAGAGTTTTCTAGGTTGGTATTATGACAATTGAAATAATAGTTGTGAAGAAAAGTCTTGAAAGTAAATGTGAGTCATTAGAGAGATTTAAACATAACAAATAAATTAAACACATGATTGTAATGAATAAAAATCTGCTTAAGGACAAATTTGCATGCAACTATGCAGCATACGTATTGGGGTGAAGTTAAACCATAAGTATGCTACAGTTTCAGAAGGGTTATCTAAGCATGTCCAGACTTTTTGAATAGTACAAAGAAGGCATGTAATGACTGACAAAACTGGCTATAAAGAATGAATTAAGCATCATCTCTTTGGGACAGAGTTTTGTGTTTGTACAATCTCTCCACTAGGAGATCTGGACCCCTGAGTAAGTTACAGTATTCCATATAGTAAATAATCTTCTTAGAATTTTTCAGAATCTATCTCGAGTTCTTGGTAAATGTAGTTAAAGGGTGGCTTTGGCAGATGCAATCCATGAAACCAAGGCTTCTGCCGGTAAGGCTGGAATTTGACTTGAGATTCTAAAGAAGGAAGGTTTCTAGAGTATGTCTAGATGTGAGCTAGAGGGAGGTGTGATTCAGTCTGGGACTAAAAACCCTGTGCTTTCATTTCTATATATAAGAATATCTCTCTGATTTAGAAATCTAATCTCCTATCATGCTTAGTACAAATGCAGGATTGAATTCAGTTACCTAAAAATAGGAATCTAATGTCATTTGAGTTGCTGTAAAGTTGTCTTTGAAGTGTACATGGAGGCTGTCTAGTATGATACAGAGCAAACACAGGGGAGACCTGCACTCTTCTGAATGGCAGCTGGATGCCAGGTGGGATGTCACAGGGAATCTGCAGTGATGGTGGATACCTGCATTAAGGCAGGTGATTTAATACCAGGGTGGCTGGAGTGAGCCAAAGTGTTCACTGGACTCTATTGATTTTGTCAACTAGATCTCAATTGACTCTTATAGGAGCTTAAATAACTAGTGTAGATGTAAATAGCTATGCTGTAAATTTAGTTATCTAAATCTGCAATGGAATTTAATCCTCCATTTCTACTACTTTTTTTTTGTGCAAATGGTACTTCAGAGAGATAGCAGGAGAGGGATGCAATAAACGCATACTGGTTTACTGAGTCTCTCTTAGCATATATTAGTGAACAATTAGTGTACTTTAACAGCATAACATTTTACAGGACCCAGCAAAGGTTCAAAAGGCTCCTCTAGTTAGCTATAAAAGTTCAGATGCTAGATTCTGGTGTAATTATGTAGAAGAATTATTGGCACATATTGACAGATAGACCTTGTTAACTCTAAACAATATAGCAGAAGTGTAATGCTGTAGAGTAGCAGAGGCTGAGTGAGGTTCTGTTCAGAATCCTTAGATTGGAAAGACGTATTCAACTGAAATATGTTTCTCTGAATTAATAATAATAATGCCCAAGAAATTATATAGAAGCTATTTTGTATCACCCAAGTCAGCAGATGGTTGCATTTTAGCACAACAAACATAAAATATATTTCTAGCTTCCATGATTGTCTTTGAAAATCAGTCTAGAATTATTTCTTATTACTAACCCATGTCCCCAGAGCAGATAATAGTTTTTTTGTTGAGAGACACACTTACAACCTGTGAGCATTTGTAAACTAAACTGATCTGTAAAAGAAGATTCAGAACAACTTGGTGGTTTTTTGGTGTTTTGTTTACCTACTTCCCCTTCTCCCTCCATCCATCAAGACCTCACAGATTTTTTTTTGTGGAACTTTTAAAAGATATTAGAGTAGCTTGTAATACTACACTTAGGTGTAGTCAAACAACTATCAACCTTAATAGGAAAAGGCCAAATTGGGTATCAGATGCTTCTATTCTAGCTTCAAGAAAGGGGCACACAGTCAAAGCAGTGGCTGGAGATAAAGGCCAGAGCAGTTGCTTTTGAAACTGCTTTGGAAAACAGAGCTGGACCATTCTAGCTGCCCATTTAGGTAGAAACTGTCTCAGCTAACGCATGATGAGGAATATCACACATCATGTTAATTGAAGTGGCCCCTTTTCATCTCAGGAGTTAAGTCCTGCAAATCTGCAAAGACACCATTGCTTGGGAAAGGGCCAGAAACATGCTTCTAAATGACTGGATATCTTTTTCAGTTTTAGAAATAGGTCATTCATGAATCTGTTGTCTAGCAAAAGTGTGCCATTTAGGTTTAAATACACGTGAATGTTTTTGATTTGATCAGAGAGTTTTTTTGGCTCAGGTCCCAAACAATGACTGTTTGATATTGAAGTCTGTCCCTGTTCACTGAACTCTCCCATGAAATTACTAAACTTAGGAGTCTACCTTTCAAAGCAGAAACTGGTTTTAATCATTAAAGTAAGTAAATCCCCTCAATAGACCATAGATGAGTTCCAGATGAATGCCCAAAACTTTCCTTTGCAGTTTTTCTCAGTTTTAACAGGACACAGTTAATTCACATGATGCCCAACACAACTTTAAAAAATAATCCATTATATAGACCTAAGTCTATCTGATTTTTTTTTTCTGACATTCCTATAGAAAGAGTGAATTTTTACTGAAAGCAGTCTGGTTTGGTATTTGTAACACAAACATTGCAAGACTTGTAACCTAAATATTAAATAGACCACAAAAAAAATTGAAAATTAATCCACTGGGATAGACTATATTTTAACAGCTAGTTCTAAGTAAGAGATGGTGAATAGCTTCATGGTCCAAGAAAAATCTTATTGCTCTCATAGGCAATAATTTGGTCTTGACACTAATAAGTATAAAATTCTTGACCTTTACAAATATTCTGACTTGTTAAGCTTGACGTGCTAGAATAAGAAGAGATAAAGCATCTTTTACTCTCTTTTTTTCTATTTACTTTTTCCAGCTTTAGTTATTTAAGGCAGAAGTTCCTGAAAAGTTTTTCGCTGTTGTGAAATAAGTATATAGACAGCAATAAACCTGGATGCAGGGCTTTCTCTCTTTTGGAGATGTTTTATGTTTCAGGTCATTGGTCCTGAAGTGGCAAGGAGCATTGTGGAGTCAAGGTATTTTGAATATGAAACTAGATGAGTGGTGCAACTGACTGTTTAGCATGATATTGCAAAACAGCAGTGGTCTGTGGCTTATAACCCATGATATCGAGCACTAAGGTTATGTCTGTATTAATAAGTAGTGCAGTACAACAGGAACAGGGCTGTGTAGTGAAAAAGTTGTTGCTGACCTGGTGATCACACTATATAGATTTAATTTCTACAGCTTATGGTGTAGATCCACCTGAAAGAAATGAGTTTCTCGTGCTCTGAAGCTACTCTGCAATCCAAAGCCAAACCGTTAAGTGGGGTTTGTTCAGAAGTTCACTTCAAAAGTAAATGTTTGATATAAGGTAGTAGCAAGTTTTCACACTGTTCCATGAAAACTCATGAAGAAAGTTTGATTTTCATGCTTGTTTTTGAGGCTGACACCGTTCCCCTAAACTTTTAGACATTTCAGTCTTTGAATATTTAAGGCGTATTCATAAATGGAATAAACAGCAGAGGGTTGCTTTTGACTGATGAGTGCTTGGTATTATTTAGTAAACTTCATTATACAGGCATCAGCAGGCTAATTGTTTTGCAAGATGTACCCAGCAATGCAGCTGGTGAAGAGTTCCCTTTCTTATCAAAAGATGATTGCAATTATTATATGCAAGAACGTAAAAGCCTACTTTATGTTGAATTAAATTGATTAGAATGAAGACATGCATTTTTGCTAATGAAGATTAATTGAAATTTTGGAAGGAAATTATCTCTACACAGCTTGTCACATGGAATGATTTTTATTAGTATAACCTTTGAGCCAAATAAAAACGGTAAAAAGAGTGAAACCCTATCTAGATTTGTGAAATGTTAAGTAATGAAAATGATACAAAAAGTTTCTGTTTTTTCATGCCAAACTTTTGTTTCTCTTGTAGCCCAAGCAACGTACATCCATAGTATCTTCTCTGGAATTTCACCGAATGAATCACAGCCACGATTATTTTGAAATCAACTCATCCATTGGCTGTGCAAGTTTTATTTCTACTCCTGCAATCAGTCCAGCTAATTATTCCTTTGGACCTCTGGAATACAGTCTTGAAGAGAAAGAACTTCCAGGTATAGAGAAAAAAACACTTTACTTTTTCTGTCAACAAAGCTTTATAAAGCCATAGGTCTTTGGGTTTAAGTTGGAATTGCTGTTTTCTCTGGTACTGAAATACAATTACCATAAATACACAAAATTATTCCTGATTTTTTCCTGCTGCTTCACAAAGGGCTCTGATATTTCATGGCCAATATTATTAAAACATGTTCCCCCTCATTATATTTTAAATAAATCAAATCTTTTTTTTACATACTTGCCTAGAATTTAGGTATTGTAGCTATCTATTTTCATCATTTTGTGGTCCATATAATTTAATAAGAATTTTAAGTTGAAAAAATGTAATTAGAAGTCATTATGCAATCACCAATAAAGATGAGGAAGGGGACATTTCTAGGAAACCTGAGATTGTTTCTGCAGTGCGAATGGGATTCAGTAAAGCAAAACTTCAATGTATTTACTCAGATGGTAAGAGTTGAACAGAGTGATAGTGTCATCATAATGGTGAAGGTTTTATCTGTAAATAGAGATTCACATCATGAAAATGCTTTAAAAAAGATGTAAGTATTTTCTTTTTCACAGATCAAAACTTCAGGAGTGGGAAATTGTTGGTAACCCAAGCATTTAGCTTTGTCCCTTCAAATTTCACATGCAAGTCGATTATTTAGGCTAAACTTGTAGCAGAAGAGTATGGTATTTGGGAAAGCTGATGTATTGAAACAAATATCTTTAATAGCTAGTTTATGGGATCTGCAGATGGAATTTTAAAGAGATACAGTATTTAAGATATAAATAGAAGTAGGTTACTGCAAAATAAAAAATAATGCAAGTGTTGAAATTCAATGCAAACATATCAATTGGCTTCTGTAGCATTGATCTTGAAATTAGATGAATCCTCTACGTTGCTTGTTGGTAGGGTTTGAAACTTCTCAAAATTGTTGCTTTTCAATGATTTAAAAAATAATTCATAGCTAGATCAAAGGAAAACTATATCGTTAGAGAACTGTTGTGAAATAAGAGTGAGAAATTCTATCTGCTTTGATAAAGAAAGAGTTTAAATGGTCAGGAATTATTCATATTGGTTTTGTGGACTATAATATATTATAATCAAAGATAATGTACCATTATCTTTGAAACTAGAAGAATATGTTTATATTCATGGATATAGCAAATCTTTTCAAACTTAACCGGAAATAATTAATTTGAATGGTATCTTTTATTTATCTGGGGTAATTTGATTCTTTAGGGCTTTGTGTGTTTTTTATTTTTATTGGGTTTTATCTACTGTAAATTCTCTTCAGCGATCACAGGTTTTTTCTGGGTAGTCAAATGATGCTAAATACTTCTTGATGTTTAAAAGCAAAAATAAGAAAACAGAAAGAACATTGACATTAGATTTTAACTTCTCCAGATTTCTGCTGTTGCACAGTTCTTGTTAAGTTCTTAATAGTATCTGGATTCGCTTTACTTTTATCTTCTTTGGTTAAATTTACAACGGACTACACTCAGTAACTTCTAATTTTTGCATTTAACTGTGTGAAATTGGAACTATAATCTCATGTTTATTAGAACTAAATGTTTCTAATTTGTGGATGATTTGCTTTATGGATTGAGTGAAAGCTGAATTTTCTCTTATCTCTGCTGAGAAAGCTAAGAAAAAATAACAAAGGCAAAATGACTGAAGTTCAGATCATCTTCTACAAGTTTTTCAAGAGTATGTTTTACCATCAGTAAATCATTAATTTACAATCAGTAAATGAAATAATTATAACAAATTGAAATTCCACCCTCCATTCTCAACTGGTATCTTAGAATTATTTTAGTAATATAGGATAACAGCTTAGGCACAATCTTAGCCTGAATGAAAAAAAACCACTTTATTTTACTAATTTAATTCTTTTTGACTACTTCATGATAGATGATGCACTGTAATTCTGCAAGAGACAAGAAGTACTAATGTGAAAAGAGAATAACAAAATCTGGAAAGAACAGATCAAAATTGTGTCTAATGGAAAATTCACTGATGCTTGTCTCTTACCTAGGTTGTTAAAAGCTGAACTTTGAATAATAATGGTCAGCAAGGAGCAGTAAAAGTAGGGTTCTGTGTTTTGCTACAGCTTTTTCCTGCTTTAGCCAGCTGTTGTTTCTCTGAAAGGTTCCTTGTTCCCTTTCCAGATCTACACTGACAACAATTACAGTTCATCATATTTCTTGATTATAATCTTCTGAATTACCAATTTGTTCTGAAAATTTGTGGAACATCTGCACCTTAAAAGACTGTTTCTTTTAATAATAATTGAGGATTTGTGCACATTTGAATGTTTCCTCCTTTATTATATTCCTGTGTCTCGCATTTTATTTTCTTAAAAAAAAACATCATCAGCAAAAAGCGGTGAATTATTTTATCATGCGTATTGATGTCAAGGGCCTGACCAGAAAGAAACGATATACAGAAGGGACTTATTTTCATAGTATCTGCAGCTAGTGATTTTCTGTTCCCTTCCTTGAAACAATCACAATACTTTTTACAGGATTTCTAAATCAAGAATTGACACCTAAATAAGGCATTAGTATTTCCCTACTTAATTTCAGTGCTTTTTATGTTTTCTTCAGAAAACTTGCAATGATTCATTATCCTTCAGATAAAAATGAGAGATGAATACAACAAAATAATTATTCTGTTTCTAAAATCTTTATCATTTTACCTCTACCTCAATAATCTGCTACCAAAAGAATCAGTCAAGCTCTTGTAACTGCTGATAACTTAGAGAAAATTCCTTTTTATGTTTGGTGATTGCAGTTTTACTCTTGATGTTTGCTAATTCCCTAAATCCCCTGATTTGAAACAGGGATCCCGATTTTTGAGAAGTATATTTCTATCGAGTAGAAGATCACTGAACTCTACCACAGCACTATATTATCTGAATGACAGCACACGACAACATTTTCTAATTAATTAGCTGGAGAACAGGCGTCATATAGTGATAAGTATGTTCTTTAGCTTTGGCATCAGATGGCCTTGTAGAGTAAACAAAACTACATATGTTGCATGCACGGATGGCAGGAGATACCTTAATACCAGGTTGCCTGATGTAAGGATAAAGGTTGTGTTATTTATTTTGAACTTTAACTGGTGGAAGAACCCGCAACAAGTTGATGAAAACTCTGTTTTCACTCCAGTATGTGTAAGGCAGACTATGTGAATACAGCTTTGGCGTGACCTGCTTTCACAGCTTTATCTGCAGCAAGAACATTGACTTCATAGAAGCATTCTTGAATTCAGAATGAATGGTTATGCTTTTATAGCATTGCATTTCACCTCAAGTTGGAATGCATATCAATAATGTCAGCTATTACATATACTAATATAGAAAGTTACTATACTGAAAGTGAGACTACTCCATTGCACAGAGAAGTCATTACTGTATGTAACTCTGTCCTGCCAAGATGTAATTTTCTTGATCATTCGAATACATGTTCAGTAGGTGTTCTGTTAGATAACACAAATGAAAAATTAAATACCTTATAGTCAGGTGATTGTTTCGTTTGTGAGATATTCCTCATGTAACTTGACCATGAACCAAGACCACTAGATGTGCAAGATAATAAACTCCAGAAGAGGGCAGCCTGGGCTTTCAGGGAGATACCTCTCTAACATAGCTCCGTGCCTTGTTATATGCATCCCTCAAGATCTCTTTAAACTGTAAATCTTAAAGATTGAAGCTGACCAAATTGTGGCTGCCTTGGTAATATCAACTCGGCACAATCAACACCTGCAGCTGAAACTGTAACTCTGGATGATTTTCTTTCTCATTTTTGCTTGACCAGTCAGAATAATTATCTTTCTCTAACCCATATAACTTCTTGTCCTGACTATAATTGGGCCGTGAAATTAAAAAGACAGCTCTTCAGACGTTCTTGTTCTGTTTCAGATCACAAAATAGGTCTGTACTCAGATGTATGTATGCAGTAAAAATGTCAGCAAATGTCTGAAGGTGATCTCATTACAATCTTTATTTTCAGTCCATGAAAGTCAAAAAGTTCTGTATACCACTCATTGTCAAAGAGCATACAGTTTTTTCCTCATCTTTCAGTGGTACTGGGTTTATCTCTTAGTTAGAAAGGCTGTCTCCACCGTAGGACCTTAAAGTAGCTCTTACTCTTTTTACGTGCCTTGTTTTCTGACCGTGAGAAACATTTCATTCATCTAAGAAGGGTACATTTTTCCTTAAAACAACCCAAAATGTACAATTCAAGAATTGAATCTTTAGTATATGGGCTATAATTTTTTCTCTTCTACAATGAAAAAGTAATATTTGATTCACACCTTAGATTTCTTCTAGAAGTGTCTTCAGATCTTTCTTTACAGTAGGTATCAGATGAAATTGTTCTGTCTCACAAACCATATTTCTGAAGCAAAAGCAGTCCTACTCTTAAAGCTTGCAGTTTTGTTTTTCTTTTTTGAGAGAATTAGGAAATTCAGCATATTAGATTTAGAAACTTGTTTTGGAGGTCTGGTCTAGAATTCCTGGCTGTGTTGCAATCCTAGATACATTCTGCTGCAGGAATGTTCCTTTATGTGACAATAGGAAAGTGGCTATTTGAAGTAGGTCACATATTTGTCAGCATTACTTTCTCATTCAAATATCTCATTTATTAAGAGTTGATACAAAAAGATTAAACCTGTGATGTTTATGTAGACTTTTCAAGCCTTGTTTCTTCAACTATGAAAAGTTTTGGAATTACTAGAATTGAAATACAGAATGAAAGGAATAGAAAGAAAAAGAAAATAACTCCTATTACCAGAGCATTTTTTTAGATGTGCTGTATGTAAGTTCATGGTACACTGTCTTTGTCTGTTAACAATAACTTTCTAATTAGCAAAAGAATGCATGGTTGACAGAAAAAGGGGAAAATATTGTCTTGTAATGAAATAAGAATAATCAACAAATACTTTAAATAAAGCATTCTCATCTCCTTTATACAACCACTTGCACTTCCAGTGAGGGAACAT